GCCACTGAAAAACTTTGCCCCATAAACAGAACAACTTCCATCAGTGACCCTTCACAATAAAAGTCACATGCAGCTAGACTGCTTATGAAGACAGGGATCACAAATTCACTGACCAACCTTCCATTATAAGGCAGCTAAATAAAATAGCTTACATAAATTACTTTTAAATAGCCAAACATTACACTACATAAACTAGCTGGATATTATTGATAATAATAATACATATTTTAGTTCATTAGTTATATTATTCGCTATATATTGTGTGTTGTGTGTATTTTTCCTTCTATAGTATAAATAATTGTGAAAACATTGAAACCGTGATATTTCCTCTGACAATAATCGTGGCACCGAAATTGTATATTGTGAGTAAAACTGTCACTGCTATGAAGAAAATCAACATGCAGAGGTGATCATAGTAGAAATTTCTCAAACAGTTCCCACATTCAACCTGAGTTTGGTCTTCATCTTACAGTAAAAGTGAAAAGCAGATTTGATGGAGCTCAGGACTCATGTAACAAGCGGCTTTATTCCAAAAGATGTGATTGGATAAACTTTGAATCTCTGTGTTACAGTGCATCTGCTAAATAATGAAATTACTGCATATCTGACGACAGGACAAACAAATGCCAAGTATTCATTTAGACAGGTGTTAAAAAACAGACATAAGTAAGCAGAATTTTCAGTGACATGCAAACATCATTAGTAAAATCTGTGTCAAAACTGGGAAATGATTAAGTGAGAGAACCTCTGGAGTTTCTGCAGACTTCGCCCGCCTGGCCCCCTTGTATAAAGTCCACAGAAAGACTGGAAGAGCCGATCTGAGAACAGGGGAGAAGTTGTCGACATTTCCTAACACGCAACAGACGCAGGCATGAAAATGTTAAAATAAATAGGAAACAAATATCTCTGGATGAAAAAGTGGAGCCACACACGTAGAAGACATCAACGGAATTTGTCAAGAGAGTTTGTGGTGAAAAGAGCCAACGCCTGTGTTGATGGGCTGTAAATAAGAACATGTGATCTCCGCAGAAGAATTAATATGTTACTTCCTGCCTACCCTGCTGCACCACCCCTCACCTGAGGTTGTTCACTTGTTCATCTAGTTATTTTTGCTGTTGTGAGCATGTTTGTGCAAAGAATCTCCCACTGCATTGTGTGTGTGAAAAGAAAACTGTGGAGAAAGTCAGAACCCGATTCTCTGGAGTTTTTCTGGAGGACATTGAAAACGACTAAAGTTTCTGTCTCACAAAGTCAATAATAATCTATGTGCATGGATATCTAAATAAGTACAAGTTGTCAAACCAAGAGCACAAATTCTCATTCAAGAAGAGGGATGAAAATGAAGAGCATTTTGGAATTTGAGAGCAGAAAGTTTTTATACTCCATCACTTTGAGAGCTTTCTGCTCTCAAAGTGATCTGAAGTGAGACTCCATCACTTCAGATATTTTTTGGAATGGGTTGATATATTTAGAGGGCTAGATCCGATGTGAGCTATCAACACAACACGACACTAAAACATCTTGGCACAATGACTTGAGTATGTGTTTCCTGTTTTGTTAGCAGTTTATGCACACCTCTCTTTATCTTTCGTTAGCATGCGCACTGTCGTGCAGGGATGCGACATGTGGCTTCTGTCAAGTCACAAGAGGTGCCCTTTTGTTTCGTGAAATTGATATAAAATGTTGTCTTTTTTGAAAAGTTGTTGTGTTTTGACCCTCAGGAAAGAAAGCAGGGGATTGATGTTTATTAAAAACTGATCTAGAGAATTTAAATGTGGTTTCACAAAGACTTTAGTGGAATTAAATGGACTGTTGGGCCTTGGAAGAAGTATACAGACTTGAAAGACAGACATGAGGAATGTCTGTCTTTCAAGTCTTCCTTCAGGATTTCCAGCTTTCCACATGGAACTATCATTACAGTCACATTTAAGAGGAGCTTCTGGCCATATTTAGACACAAATGACAGCTGACTAGCTGGCAACTAAATGTAGTGATCCAAAGTGTATACAGAAACTCTGACACGCCATAATGCTCATCTCTAAACCCAATCTATATTAAGTGTCCTATCGGTCCATTGAACGTTTCTGCTGCCCGTGTAATGCAACCGGACATCGGCTTGCACGGGTGCTTCCTGCACTTACCCTCCGCCTCGTCAGTCCTCCGTTAGTTTCTAAAAAAAACTTGAAGTGGTCATACATCACGTTTGGCTCCACCACTCCCGTCTACTTTGATGTTCCAACAATGCAGAATATCCTCTCCGCTCAAGTGCATGGCTCTGGTTGCATAACCCAGCTGTCTCATAGGTAAATGGACAGTGGATATCTCTCCCCCATCACTGTTTCTGTATCCAGTGAGTAGTTAATGTTTTACCCAATTTGCTTACTCTTTAATTAATTTCTTTTTTTTTTACAACTTGTGCTTACAATCTATGACTGGCTGTATTCTTCAGCAGTTTATTTTGCTTTCATTGGAGGGGTAATGAATGGTCCTAGCTGGGATTTGATAAAACAATGGAAAAAGGAAATACTTTGTTTAGGATCACGTAGAGATGATTTCAATAGATAATACACTTTGAACAGAATCCCCCTCTTCCTTAAAACTGATTCTGATTAAAATGATTTATCATTGATGGCAAAGACCTTAATACAGCCAGTGGTGAAATGAATCCTATGCTCCAGCTGATTATTGTATGTACATTGTGAAACGGAAACTCCCAGTAGCCACAGCCACATTGATTTTCCGAGATACATTGCAAAACTGCTAGAGAAGTGGTGTGTTTAAGTTCAATCAAGGACATTATAATAAAATTTCAGCTACATTCTTCTTAAATTAATATAGATCTTGGCATGAAACCGAAATGCAAGTTTCCCTCTAATCAAATTCTTTGTCATATATAACACTATTAAACCCATTTTGCAGAAAATGCTCTGGTAACGCAAATTTGCTGCATTGATCTTATGGGGAACTCAGAGGAGAGTGTATGGGTAAATATCATTCTGCTAGGGACAATTCAGCAACACTTTAACATTGGTAGTGACATGTCCCCACTGTCCATAGTCGTTTTACTGTATATATTTTTTAACTAAACTTAGAGACATTTAGCTGAGAAAACAGTTTAACACAACGAAACAGTCTTGATAGCAACAATATTTGATTCAAACAAGTACTATAATGAAATATGACAGCTGTAGTGGTAAACTGTTGTTGTTTGAGACAGTTTGTGCCATTTCAGTTTACCAGAGTGTAGACAAAGTGTGTGTGTGTGTGCGTGTGTGTGTGTGATCTTCAGCGAGTGAATCAGCAATACTTTGTCAGTGGAAAAGTCTGTAATGGAAGCTCTTTTATTAATACTCTCGGTAGGTCAGCAGACTCAGATACTAAGAACAGAGGTGCATTGATATAGTCCAGGCTCACTACCAGCCATTGTGCTCTCACTCTCTTTCTGTCTGCCACAAACTACCCAAGCATGTTTTGGAGTTATAAAGCAGAGTCAGTGTTAATGCATGTCTTTATTCTCTGTGACAGAGTACTGTCTGTTCACCATACACTGCACTTAGAGCTTCAGGCTGCAGAGGGCCCCAGCACAACCATGAACCCAGAGCAGGGCACGGTCTAATTCATGGACACATATGCAGACTCTTAAAGACTTGTCTGAGAATGCTTTGATCTGGTTTGCTCTTTATATTTCTATATGAATGCCGGTCAGAAATAGGTTGTTATGTAATAGGCTACAGTATATGACCAAAGAGCAGCTAGAAAACCGCTCTTTTATTATGTGATCATTTCATTTTCTAAACTCAACTAAAAAAAGAAAAGAAAATGTTTTTTCAGGGTGTTTCTGTTCAAAAGTGAAACAAAATAATGAATTTCAGTATGTGCATTTGTTCTGTGAGTAGTGACATGTGGGGATGGCCATCATCTTTCACCGCAGTTTAAAACACAGAGCCTCAAAGCGCAGGGGTCACAGATCCTGATGCCGAACTCAAGCAGAGGGATTCCATTTTTTTTATTTAATTTTGTGTTTTTTGTAAGTGTAACTTGAGTGAATGATTCTGGAACTTTTTTCCTGTCATGGAAATGACTCATCTGGATCTGTGTTTCAGTGCAGCAAACTCTCATTTTATTACAGTTTAGACCAATCAGTAGAATTGTGATGACACAGTGATGAGGTCCATTCCCCCAGCTGCCATAACACTCTAACAAAGAAATCAGGACAAGTGTCTACATAACTGGAGCCCGCACTCATACTTTGTATTGTCGATATTTACTTTTAGGGACAAATCTAATCAGGAAAAACATGCAATATTTCCAGTTGATGCAGAAAGTGAAATAGTTCTTGTTGTCACCGTGGTTTCTGTATTGTATATGCATTGTGATATTTTTTATGCTTTCTTGATCAGTTTACAATATTATAATACAGACTTGTCACCATTATTTTCCTGGTCATGCACCAGCAGGATCACAATGCTCTTGACAGGAGAAAAGGCAGAACTATTTGAATCGCTGAAAACCTGAGCTGTGAAAGGTGCTAAAGAGAGATGTGTTGTTGACTCTATCATGAAACAGCAGTTTTACAATCCCACTCATTTCTTTATAATTCAAGGCACTGGATTGGAGCATTTGTGCATGGGGACCAAACAGATGAAATGAGAAGAAATGTCACCATTCTGTGTGTGCTGTGTCTATATTTGCTCACTGATCGGCTACAGTTTGATTAAATAACTTATCTTTTGATTTGATGTTTAGCTTTCGAGCAGCTTAGTCACCAGTCTTTCAGTTTCCTTACTCCATGTCTCTAATTATGTCTCTTTGTCTTTATTTATACCACAGCTATACTGGATGTGTTTGATGGACTGCATATGTGATAGTGTTGTTTCTTTTCTGGTTAGATTATTTAGCACAGGGAGGACAAATCTTATTGTGTGTGTTTTGTATTCACTGACTGTGTAGGATTCATGGATGTATCAGGCTGTATCTGATCAGTGTGTCTCTCCTTACAGATGAGATCATGCAGCAGGAGATCAGGCCCCTGCTGGCCATGGACATCATAGAGCAGCTCCATCGCCAGTTTGCCTTGCTCTCAGGTACGTAACAGAACGCCACTGTCCCACTACCCATTGTCCCTTTATCACACTGTCGCACTGTCCCATTGTCTCACTGCCCTGTTGTGTTGCTGTCCACACCTGGGATTTCCAACCCCGTTTTGACCTTGTGAAAGTAAATTGACAGAGAAACTAATAGACTGAAAACCAATAATAATCAAATGTCTATCATAATAGAAAGTTGTTATAGCAAAAACTCCAAAAATGTAAAGGTAAAGTGAAAGAGCGCTCAGTTGTGTGGGACATTAAATCACAATTTGAATTTTCAAAAAAGGGAAGGACTAAAATCAGATTTTAAAAGATTTAATTTCCACTGAACATGCTAACTCAGAGTTAACTCAATTTTTTCTTTAAAGACCAGTAATCTGCTTCCTGTTCGTGCTTTCCTAATATTTTCTTTGGAAAATAATGGAAATTCCAAATTAAGTTTTGAATCACGTTACTGATGGTTCATAAGGAAATCTTTCAAAACAGACCACAGATGCACACTGACACATACTGCTTTTATTTAACTGGCTAGACTCTGTGTGCTGAACGTAATATGTGGAAATCTTTAATCAGACCACATTGAATGGATGTGACTATAAAATACATGCTGTGGCTATTTTCCTCTTTTGAAATTGCTGTGATTTTGTTTTGTCAAAATCAGCAAAAAGTGAGATTTAAAGTATTGCAGCAATGAAAAATAACATTGCACATCCATAAAATTGGGAAATTCACATTATCTGCAAAAGCATAGAGGCACACATCCCATAAAACAAAAACCAATAAATATAGAGTAGACGAACAAAAATCGAGGTTCCCACACTGAAGCTGCCTTCAGTGCCCTTCGAATGAGCTGTCCATCAGGGACACTGATCTCCATGCAGTCCTTCAGATCAGTGAAAATCAGCTAGAAGTGGCATTTTACATGGGACAGTTAGTAAAGATCAGAAGCAGCAGTGGTTGACATTCAGGAGTTGTATTCCCATGTGAGTGTATAAAACAGTAGCTGAATTCCCATTATGTAACCAACAACACCAAAGACCAATTTACCCAGAGGACATCATCTGGGTTATTTTCTAAGACTTGTCAAAGCTCCAACAGAGACACAGAGGACATTATTCAACTTTGTCCCCACACACTGAATAAAAACTTTTAAACGCTTTCTGCATCAACCACCCATCCCACTTCTCTAGTTTGTGGAGTAATGACCAACAACGGAATTATTTTTCAATCTGTGCTGCATGTTGCAGAATTCATTGTCTCACTTGTCTCTTTTCATCCCCCTTCCCTCCATCATCGGTAAAATCTTTTACCTGCCCTCTATTACCTGCCCTTACACTACATCTATCCATCACAACATACCAGGTATCTGCAGTATTAAGTTTGGTGTATCAGCCATTTCTATTTTTTTTACCTTACATCATAGAAAGCACAATAACCAGTTTTATCATAATCGGCTATTTTATTTTTGATACATATATTTAAATGCAGGAAAATACAAAGGTCCCAACTTCTGAAAGTAAACACGAATGAATGAGCTACTTCTGAAAAGTTACCCCGCAGTGTTGGTAGTCTCTGTCTGTCAGTACCATTAGTATTTTCATAAGCACACATTTGGAGTTCTTGGAAATTTTACAGATCAAGTTCCATGATTATATGAATAAACAACTAAAGATGTGTGTTGGAGATGTCGGAGCTGAGATTTGAAGAGAAACCTACAAAGTAATATAAAGCACCTGTCCCCTCCACTACAATATTCATGTATTGAGGCAGCTTTCAGTCTGAGACCTTTCTCAAGCACCATAATAAAAAAAATGAGCTCAACAATATTAAGGTATAAGTACTGTTGATTACTCGAGTTCTGTTACAAAACACTGGTACCACTGGATATGTGACCATGCTAGAAGTCACTGGGAACAATCATCTACAATTGATTTTCAGTGCATCCTTTGGAATATTAAATGAGTTCACACGTAGATCACAATAGTTTCTCATATGAACTGACTGGATCTGCTTCTTTAAATGAGTCATCTATGTCAGGTGGAGGTGATGATGATGCTCCTACTACCATCAGATGAGTTTTTGCAGGTTTGGGTCAGTCTTTAGCAAAGTGAGTGTTTGCTAGAGTCAGTTTTGAAAAGAACTGTTAAGAGATGAAGATGCATGTCTCCTCACAAAATCAACAGGACGCACAGTTTAGAGAAGTGGACCATAGGGAGGTGATGTACCTGCAGCCTTGAGCTCCTTGTTGCTTTGCAGCTCAATGATTTCATGTTGATAAGAAAAACCAGTTGGTTCACATTAAACATCGTAGAGAATACATTCCTTTTGTTTACTTTTCATTTCCTGATACCTCTCGCCAAGCGCCCGAGGGAGTTTTGCAAACTCAGCAGTGAATTCAAATGTCATAATTGGCTTTTGTTTTTGCAGAGTAGGAAAATGCAATATTTACACACAATACATCATTTCACTGAGCTAGCAGCTCTGCAGTCAGCACAAGGCTCAGTCACAAACTCTCCCTCTGAATGTGGTTTTAGCCCCGGTCTGGTTGTCTGTCTCTGTCAGAATGTGTCTTTCCATTCATTTTATTCACATATCGTTTGTTCAGTTCTCTTTCAAAGGTTGACAATCTGCTTTACTTTTCTTTTCTTTACAGTGGCCATAACTCTTTTCAGACACGTGACCACAATGTGTATATTTGATTCACCCTGCCCATGACCTGACTGGCATACAGCCAGTAAGGACCACGCTTTAAGACATCTCAGTCCACGGTTTTATGTTGTTTAGACCTACTTCTATTACAAAAGAAAATGAACATCGGAATCAGTTTTTATTGCTGAGTGGTTTTTTTGAAGTTTGAGTCCAGAGGCTAGAGGTTCCCACCCCTGTATTGAACAAAAGACATACAATGTGTTACATATTAAGCTTTACATGTGCTGATGAATTTTATTTCCTTTGGACAGAGCCAGACCTGTTGTTTCCCCATTTCCAGTCTTTGTGCTTAGCCTACAGACATGAAAGTGATTTCTTCTCATTGAACACCACGTGAAAGCTAAAACGCTAACTAACCAAAATATGAGCCCCTTTTTCTGTGCGGTAAGAAGTCAAACTTTTGTAATGACTCATCTTCACATGGAAGCCATGAAGGCAAATCTTTTTTGCTGCAGGATAATTTATTGTTCTTCATTGGTAAATACAGGTGATTTACTTTTATATACATACTAAGTTTTATTTTCAGTTCTTTCTTTATCTTTTGCCAACAAATTTAATAATAAGAAAAAAATAAATCAGTCAAATCCCTGTCAGCTGGATGAAACTCCTGTGTTTGATCCATTCATCCACTACAACCAGCTTCACATGCCTTGTTTCACAGCACACATTGTGACATGTCACAGGAATTACAGATCACATTAGCAATGGCTCTGTTCAGTTCATGTGTCCCAGTAAGACATGACAGTGTGACAGTGAGAGTATCTGAACTGTTTTCTGCCTCGAGTTGTTGTAGGAAAAGCAGGTCCATTATTTTGTCATCTTCTGTATGGATTACAGTTTTGATATGATATCTCCTGCAGATGTTCAATGTGGCCACAGAATTCATTCTACTCGCTTTAGTGATCCCCTGACTTTCTGTAGTGCCACCATGCTGCTGACATTTTCAATAAGGAATGTCAATAAATGTAATGACATTCACATTTGCTTCTGCAGTACTTTGTGTTTCACTCCTGTGCCTCAGTTATTCATTTAAACTTTGTACATCAGCACCAAGATGATACATCAGACTGAAATATAATCAATATTACACTCTGTGTGTAGTGATGTAATGAACTGTAGTAGTGTTAAAGCATTTGTTGAATGGATGCTCATGTCAGTGTGGCATGATTGGCCTAATGAATGGTTGATTTGATCCACTGTAATGCAGCTGGTGGAAAGTTGCTTGCCAGCCCCTGTCCTCAGACTTTCCAGATGTGCTGCTACCGCGGTGACACAGCAGCCTGTGTGGTTTTTCAGGGATTCTTGTCATTCCATTTCTCAGTCTCACGTCTCACAACAAACCAAAATAACAACTGTTCCCAAAAGAACCTTTCTCAGCATCACTTGCTTCTCAAGTTCTATCACTTCAACACACCACTTCAACACACCCGTTTTATGGCCTTTGCCTAGTGTGTGTCTGTTTGTGTAGGATGTGGATTGGTATTGACACCATCCTCTAGTTTGATATTTTGGTATTTTTCTAGATAAACTATTTTGTGAAGTAATACCCCTCTCTTCACTTTCAGGGGAAAAGTGAATTCTCCTGTATGAATGACCTGATTACTGCACACACAGCTGCAAAATGTGAAATCAATAACAACTACTTCAAGCTGAGATTTAGTTCATAGGAAAGGGCAGAGGACTCTTTTTGGCCTCTTGGGGGCTTTGCGATAAGCTGAAAATGTGTCCATTGACACATGGAAACAGAGCAACACTGGCATTCATAAGGAGTCTGTGCCACCTGATTAATTAAAGTCTGTTATTGGCTTCCAGATCTTTCTCATCAGACACAGTCATTTGACCCATGTTTTGACCCAAAGTTATTGATTAATGCAGCTTTAAATATTTGTTAAACAAATGGCTTATCTGAATTACCAGCAGGCATTTCACTCCAGGGAGGCTTTTAATGCTATTAAGGCCATTGCAGTGGTTCAGTGGTTGATGCTGTGACCTAGTGCAGTGAAAACTGCAACTCTGCACAGATTAAGCAAGCACTGATTATAGTAGTTTATGATTAATGAGGTCGGTTAAACAGTTGACCGAATATTCTAACCCAAGTTCACAGCCTTTCAAAATAAAAAATATGTGATCCAGCTCAATATAAACATCAGTATCGAATGTATCTCATTCAATAAGCCAATTAGATGATCGTTTGTGTGTTCCACATATAGACAGACAGATAGACAGACAGATAGACAGACAGATAGACAGACAGATGTGAACAGACTGTAGCATGTCAGGGCCACACTTTCTATCTTCACTGACTGACATGGATCTGTGTGTTTGAAAGATGACTGGTGAGAGATTAGGTGACAGCAGAGAGCATGGCACACTCACACACACACACAGACACACACACACACAGACACACACACACACACACACACACACACACACACACACACTCACACTTTGTACACTGAATTTTAGATCTTTCTACACACTTACAGAGTCCTAATATATAGGTAGTTGGGGTGTCGGTGGATTTCTAGCTCAACATTGCCCCCTTGTGACATTTTGTGGAAAAGGTTTTAGATAGAGATATTGGTGAACTTTTTTCAGGATGTTCAGTGAAACGTCTGGGTCTTAATTTGCTCCTTCTTGTTGGCTTTATAAGAAATGAACATTTTGTTATCTTTGCATCTGTACTGAAAACAGTGAAAAAAACCCAAAAGACATTATCTACATGCACAATATATTTTACTAATGTTCTCTGACTTTAAGAGATAAATGGTCAAATTTGTTAGAAGAAACAATACTATGGACTAAGCCAAGGTTTGAACTACATTTGCATTACAAATAATACAGTATACAGATAATGCAATAACAAACATACAGTAAAACATCATACAGCTTCATTGAAGAGCTAGAAGGTTATATAGACAGTGTCAGACTAAAGGAAGAAGAAAGGATTGAAAATGATGTGTGTGGTGGTTTTGTGTTGCAGGAGGGCGAGGGAAAGATGGTGCCCCCATCATCACCTTCCCAGAATACTCAGGCTTCAGTGAAGTGCCAGAGGAAGACTTCCATAATGTAGTTACTTACCTGACCAGCATCCCCAGGTACACATCTGCTAATGTAAGATAGATTTGTAATCAATATGCATTATGTTTGCTGTCACTAAAGACAAAAGTCCTATGGTCTCTTGATATAACTGTTTTCATTGAACCTTCAAGCATGTGGCAAATACCATCAGTCAGCAAACAGTGACAAAATATGAATTAAATTAAAGCTTAACTGTACAAAAGTACATTTGTATGTTCAAGTTCCCATCACTGATGGTAACATGCAGTAGTTTGTGTTGAATACATTTTTAAATCATCTTTAGGGTTGGTCTCTGATTTTGCTGCAGGGCTAAACTTGGCTGATCATTATGTCACTTCCTCTAGTTTGCTGCAGTGGCTCAACATAAATATATAAACAAATGATCAAGATGCTTTTGCTCTTCTACTGAGATCCTTTTACAGAAGCAGTAAACATCCAAGTTTTGGGGAATTATATAGTAATGGCTTACAGGCACGATGCATTAGTCTAAAGTAGCAGTGCAGTTTACATCCTTCTACCTCCTATCTCCAGTTTGGATGCTGCCAGTATCGGCTTCATCATCATCATCGACCGGCGGAAGGACAAATGGAGCTCAGTAAAGGCCTCTCTGTCAAGGATCGCTGTAAGTTCTCTAAGACATCCTCTGAATAACCATATAATAACACATACACATGAATGGTGAACTGTATATATTGTTAAATATATTTCTTTATAATATATAAATATATTAATTAATATTATAAACAATTATAGAAACTATATTTAATGCAGTGGGAGCTATAAATACAACACATTTAAGGAACTTGGATGTTAAAAACAAGTAATCTACTACAACCTTATTTTAATAATTATGTTCTAATATTTATGTAGAATTTATTTATTGCACAAGTGCACACCTATAGTGGAGAACATGGGTTATAAGGAAATGGTAAAGTGCAATTTACAGAAGTGTAAAACCTGCAAATGGAAAAGAACAAAACATAATTTGGCCGACTGGACCAGCTTTTTGGGTTTCTAAGATCGACACGTTGAACATGTTGACCTGATGTTAGCTCTGAATGAACGGAGAGTGGTACACTACATTCTCCTGTGTTGGTATTAATGGGCTTGTAATGTGTGAGACCAGGTTTCTCTAATAATAGAAGTTATGATTAGATACTGCAGCTGTCAATAAAATGACGAGAGATGTTTTTTAAAAGGGAGTCACTGTGGTTCTGTCTATGTATTGACAGTTTTAAAAGCTACACAGTTCATCCAGTGACTCTCATTCCAATTGCTTTTTGAATAAGAATTGACACACAGGAGGATTATACAGTAAATGTTTCCTCCGAGGCAGCAGTGTCAAGCCGTGAAACTCAGCTGACTGAATGAAGGGATGGGATGGCTTAGAGATGTGCTGTAAGTTTACATGCTGTTGTGTTATTTAGGGAGCATTTCCAGGAAACCTGCAGCTGGTGCTGGTGCTGCGACCCTCCAGGTTCTTCCAAAGGGCCATAGCAGACATCGGGATCAAGCTGCACAAGGATGACTTTAAAATGAAGGTACTGAGTAACACCATTCAGTTCACCGCCACTAACCTCCGCTGCAGTCACATGAGAAGACATATGACTTATTCTCCCAAAAATGTGCTTAATTAAGGATGTGAGGTTTTTAAATGAAGGCACAACCTGCTCATGTTGCGGAGGGGTCAAGATCGTCCCCAGCAATCATTCAGACATTAACACACAACATAACAGACACTGAAAACCAAAGTGATCCCTACGATCAGTTACATCAACATGTACCCATTCAGTTATTTACAATGTTTTTACTCCAAACTTATCACATATCAGTCTCTCATGCAAATGTTTCACTTAATTTTTCCTTCTTCTTCTACTTTTTCTTTTAATTGTTTGTCACTTTTCAGTAAAGTACATTTGGGACAATATAGAAAAAAGTAAAAGTGAAAACACCCCATAAAAGAATTAAATATAAATTAATATGAATTTAATTGTATCAGAAGATTTAGTCAGTTAGTCAGCAGATTTAACAAGGTGTATTTTTGATGAAGCTAATACAGAGTTACTGTAGCTGCGTGGATTGTGAGTGGTAACTGATTCCACTGTCAATCACTCATTTTTTAATAAAGTCTGGACTTTGGAACTGAGAGAAGAAGAAGAAGCTCTTTTTTCATACCTACGAGTACATTTTTATTCTCTTGAGCATGGTCAGTCTAAAACCAGGTGAGAAAATACATACAGTGTTTCTTAATGATTTTGAGCTCCCAGACGATTACTAAAACCCATAAATTACAAAAGAGGACCTGATGTGAGTTTCCTCTGGGATTTTAACAATCACCTGTTTGTGGCGTGAGGACCATCCTCTGTTTTTAGATTTCTGAACAAACTCTGCCTCTGAATTTCAACCAATCCAGTGTAGAGGTCATATTTTCTGCAAGCTTATCTTGACCCAAAACACCTGTGAAGAAAAACAAATTTTTAAAAAGCTTTCCAGCAGCAGCAGTAGACTTAAAGCAGCATCATGTTGTAATCACAACCTTTGGATTTCATGTTAGTTAAGTTACTCGGCCAGTCCTCGGATTTTTCACAATGAACTGGATTTAATGATGTAATATTACTGAATTTTAACATGGAACACAAATGATTTGGTATCTTACTGTAAAAGACATTAGTTTTTTTTAACCACACACAAAAGAACACTTAAGATGATGATACTCACATAACATGAGTGTTGATCTAATGTATTGTATTGAATGTGTTTGCAGATTATGATGCTGAACTCTCTGTCGGACCTACAAGGTTATGTGGATAAAGGCCAGCTGACCCGGGAGCTCGGAGGAAGCCTGGAGTACTGTCACAGTCAGTGGATACATCACCGAACTGTGAGTTCCCATGCAGCCTAAATACTGTTGAGCTTAACTTTAATGTGACATCCCAGATGTGATATTGCTTAGAATGGTCACTTATGTTCAATGACTCTGAACAGTCACATGTGGATCATTTTCCCTATAGGCCATAGAGAACTTTGCAATGACAGTGAAAACCACAGCCCAGATTTTACAGAGGTTTGGGACAGACCTGGCAGAAACGGAGCTGCCCAACGACGTCCAGTGCACCAAAGATCTGCTCACAGCACACACGGATAAACACGACAACCTCAAGGTGAGAACATTTCATACACCAAATCATACTACCACAGACAGCCCCATTGGTGCAGGACAAGGAAAAATCACTTAATCACATAAGTGCGGAGCTCCAGTAGCCAACAATTTAAAAACAATTGCACTGGTTCTGGAATGCAACTGTTTTCTGATAAATAAATTAGTTGTCAAAATCGACAGTTGGATTTGTGCTTGTTCAGAGCAGGAAGTGGAGATATATGTGTGAAATTGGAGGTGGTAGAGGCTTGATGACCTTGGGGTGGGCTTCAGTAATGACATTGACTACTGCTAGCTTTCGATTTTTTCTTATTTGGCAAAGTATAGTTGAGTTATATAAAGTTAAATAGAATCTCTGAGCTATTATAATACCTTCTTCATATTGTGGACTCTCTCTCGTTCCCTCTGAGGTCAGCTCAGACCATTTGATCAGTCGAACATCATCGGTCATCTGTGTAATTTTACATCACCTCTGCAAGCAAGAAATGAAATGTTGCTGCTGTAAACTCTGCTCTGGTCAGACCCATAATTTAAGGACAGGAGTGCGACACATATGTACCTCAGTGCAACACCTCAACAATTCCAACATTGAAGAGAAAGGTTCAAAAAGCCTCTGGTGCTATAAAGCCGTCCCTCAAACAGCCACAGACAAGGCCTCATTTCCATCATCCCATCATCAAGTTTCTTTCTCCTGCCAACGTAATATAAGCCCACAAACATAATACAAATCTGCAGTCATAACGTAATGATCTTACAAACGTAATAGCAGTTGCCTACTACAAACATAATAAGTAATGTCCTGCAAATGTAATAGCTATTTGCAGGGATTTGTTATGTTTGTGGGAAGGTGAAAATCTTTTCCAAATGGGGGTTTGAGTCAACTAGTTAGACAATACCACAGGTTGGTCACAGCAGGTCAAAACGTGTCAAAGCAGTGCTATTAATACATATATATATATAATATATATATTAATATCCTATTAATAGTTATAAATAACTTCAACATCGCGCACAATAAACTCTCTACCCTCTCTTCCACCTTTTTGTCATTCTCTCTCTCTCTCTCTCAAACGCTCACGCAGCTTTATCATTCCTTGTCAGTTCACAGAGTTGTTGTGTGGCATGTTAAGCTGTCTAGGAATAGCTATTACATTTGCAGGGAATTGTGTATTATGTTTAGTACTCAACCGCTGTTACGTTTATGGGATTATTACATTAAAAGCTGCAGATTTGGATAACGTTTGTGGGCTGTTATTACGTTGGTGGGTGACATACAGACATACAGCATCAAAAATAAAAAAAAGTTTCAGACAGAAAACACAGTAAAGAACAAAAGGAATTAACTGAAAACCAAACAGAGGGAACTTACACGTTTGGGTTTCTTAACAGTGGCAAACTTTTTTTCATTTTGGATTTAGAAGCATTAAAGTGTATTATATATTACCCTACACTCATTTACAAAAAGATTGAAACATCATCAGAGCTTCACGCAATGATAATACAATGTTGTTTCCAATGTTTCTGTGTCTCTACCAGGATGAACTGAAGCTTGCTTTGAAGCAGGGCACCACCTTGTTAGGTTGCATCAAGGAACAGGCAGCAAAGTCAGAGAATCACAAATTGAACCCAGACGAGATGGAGAACCAGACCACTGTTGAGAGGTGAGAGTTGTCAACAAAGCCTTTGTTTCTTAGTTTCTCTTTCTGAATGAACAGGTGTTACCACACACAGTTACCAGACATAGTGTTTCTCAGTGTTTAGAATGTCCATGTAGTTGTGTGGAATCTCTCAATGTGTGTGTGTGTGTGAGTGTGAGTGTGTGTAATGAAGTTCCTATTGTGTGCCTCAGGCTCCTTGCCCAGCTGGATGAGACGGAGAATGCCTTTGAACAGTTCTGGTGTAAACACCATCTAAAACTGGAGCAGTGCCTGCAGCTGCGCCACTTTGAACAGGACTTCAGAGAGGTATATGTGTAGATATGTCTGTCTCTCTGCAACCTCTCACATGTTTCTTCACTTCATACAGCTTTAAAGGCCTGCAGCTTTAACATCACACTTTGAAAAAAATGACTTCATAAAACACTTCCCGACTGAGTCTGTTTGTAAGTTGTAAATTTAGTGACTTTATGTTATAAAATCACTGAAGAGTTCTTGTTGAAATATGTTTCGGTCGGTGTATCTTCCATATTTCCAATATGATCATTTGACATGTTCTAAGAATTCAGCTCTCTCTAGATCATTAAATCCAAGAGCTGACTAAAACAGCTTTAATCTGATAGGTTGTTTTATTTATAAAGTGTTTATAAGAAAAGGTCACACTGCCCCAAACTAAACTGACAGACAACCCTACTGCTAATGAGATCCTGTAAAATAATCAGTGATGATCTGAAGAAAAGTTGAACATGGATATGAGGAAAAATACATTGTGAATTAGATCATGATGTCATCAGTCTCTGCTCAGTATCTGTCTCTGTCACCCATTTTCTTCTCCAGGTCAAAGTGTCTCTGGACAGTTTGAGGGACAGTTTGACCAGCCTGTCAGTTATTGAGGATTGTCTGGCCAGAGTTGAACACCTGCTAAAAGAACTGAAATCATTGGAGGAGAAGGCTCAGGTGAGTCTCACACACACACACACACACACACACACACACACACACACACACACACACACACACACACACACCTCTGTTGCCAGCCACACTTCTCTCCGTCTGCCTGGTGCCATTTTTCCATTTCAACAGACTATCCATCACAGCCTGCCGGTTAAGGGATTCAGTTTAATTAAGATTTAATGTTTTACTTTATATGGCTACTTTAGTCTGCTCACTGTTATGCGGAGCTTGCCCAGAGACAGTTGTCACCCATTAAACACGTCTCACTCAATCAGACCAGATCTTCCAGAGAAGGAGAGGGAGAAAAATGGCCTCTGTAGCCAACAATTTGACACCACCTCCTCAGTTTTTTTTTAAATTGCCCACAAATTCCACAATAATAATTAAATTGCTGAAATCAGGTGTCATAACAACCCTATTATCTTAAATTTTGTGTTCACATTTATAATTGCAACCTCTCTGCAGCCTCTCTTATACTGAGTGTAGACGAGACATTGCTCCATGGTAAACTGACACAGACAAAGCTGTTACATAAAAACACTGTTCTTTACATACAAAACAGCACCTACAAATTTATATTCCATGAGGAGAACACCACAAAGATTTTATTTGCACAAATGAAACTGCCATAATGTATCCTGATTTGCTCTGAATTGCTCCAGCCGACACTAGAAAAGGCCCAGCTCCATGCGCTGCACGGTGACCAGCTGATCCAGAGCAACCACTACGCCGTGGACTCCATTCGACCCAAATGTGTAGAGCTGCGGCGGGTCTGCGATGACTTCAGCAATGAAGCCAAGAAAAAGACGGATGTCTTGTCCAAAAGCTTGCAGATACACATGGGCATTGAAAAGGTGAGAATATGGTCCGACTTCAACATCTACAAATATGACATCAAGAAATGTAAGTTTGATTTCGTGCACTTGGAGCATCCATCATTACATGTGTAGATGAGAAGGTCCAAACTATACAAACACTGCCCCCTGCTGCTGCTGTGTCAGTATTGCTGCCAGTTAACTCAGCCCTTCCACCACCCTAGCATCCACCTGTAGGCTCCGACAAGGGGGTGATTTGCTCATCACTCCCATTATATTTATGTACTCTTACCTGGGGGAGTGATGAAGTCCGAGCCTAAATGCCACTACTACTACACTAACTATTTTTTGCTGCTGCAATGAACATTTCAAACGTGACTTGTCTGACTAATATACCTTTCTCATCATAACTCCCCGGAAATGCTGAGAGAAAATACACTCTGTAACATTTTCTTTTATATTTTGCCCCTGTTGAAATGTATAATATAACCCATAGTTGAGTTACAGTAGACAAATTAGATTTTAGACATATTTAGACATGACTCAGTGATTTCTGAGGACTTAATTATCCAGAGAAGTCATGTCATGTGAACTGAATACTTAATCTTTACTCAGCAGTATTTTTCCACTCTCCTGTTGACATACTGATTTGTACTACGCACTCAAGATAATTCTCTCATATTATTCATGTACATTTTTCCTCCTGTGATCAGATTACACCAAAAAGCATGAAGATTAGGTGATGATATGTCTTTGCAGTTCCCAATGGACTCTTGTGGTGCCTAACATTCAAATCCTGCCCAGTTTGAACCTGTTTGAACTTTCTGCTGTAAACAGGTAAACCAGTGGTGTGAGTCGGGCATCTACCTGCTAGCCTCCCAGGCTGTGGATAAGTGTCAGTCACAGGATGGGGCAGAGTCAGCGCTAGCCGACATCGAAGGCTTCCTGCTGTCAGCGGAAAAGAACCAGCTGACTGAACTGAGGAACCTCCATAACCAGTATGAGGTTGTGCTGTCTGAGGATATCAAGGTACGGTGCAAAAAAATGTGTGTTTACAGGACGACTGCGTGTTCTGTCGAAAATATAATGAGGACGAGGAGTGACAGTGAGCTCTCTGCCTGCAGACCAGTGTCCTGAAAGCACTGAAGCGTCTGGAGGATGTCCAAGAAATGTTTGAGAAGCGGCAAATAAGCCTGAAGAGACTGTCGGCTAAACAGACGAGGCCCGTCCAGCCCGTGGCCCCGCGGCCTGAGTCATCTCCCAAACGGCCCTCAATGAAGAACCCCACCAGGCCTACAGGGAACCAGCAGCGTGAGTTGGATGTTGCTCTATCCAGTTAATGCAACAGATGGTGAAACCTGATGCAACAGTTTCAAACTGTTTTAAAAGTCGTAATGCTTGTGATAAGATTGACACCCTGAGCAGCAAACTTGCTAAAGTCTCATACAAACTTTTTTTTTGAGGGATAATCTGAACTCATCTTTAGACATGCATGTTATGCAACACAGGCTCTGATGAGAGAAATGATTGAAGTTATTTATTCTGTGTCATCTCAATTCATTTCAGCCCTGGCTCGCAGAGCTTCTGATAACTCCAACAGTGGCAAGCAGCCAGCCGAAGCTGATCCGAACAAGAAGAAGAACATACGCAGGGCCAAGGGGGGCATCAAGGTACTGTCCTCTGATCCCACTTTGAAATCTTCCATTTATCTGGGCCTCAAACTTTAAGATGTGTGTCTTAAAAAGCTCAACAGTCACTTACTTTACGTTCGCTCACATTTTGTCTTATTTACAACACTTAATAAGTTTGGATAAGTAGTATTAAATAACAATCTCGGGAGCTGACATCTCAATCATATTACATTTCAATAGTCAGCCCTGTATGACAAAAGACAATTCAAAGTTTCATGCAAATTAGCTAGAATGAATTCACCCTGCGGAGTTAATGCACTCTGTGATAGCTTCCCCCTGACCTCCACTGTGAGGCTGTCTTATTTACACCTCTGCATTATTACAACCTGTGGCAGTCAGACTGCATTACTTACAACTGTAATTATTGGACTAAAAGAGAAACAATAAACACCAGTTTTGAGGAAAAAGAGTTCACTCTGCTAAATGTGTGTTCATGGCTTTTAAATTAATGAGTCAATGCTTTGTCAGGCTCTGTGTTTGACATGCATTCAGAGGTTAAACCATGACACAGGGTCAGACTGATGGTTTTGGATGAAACATTTACCCTGATATGCCAACGGTGATCTGGGGGAGGACTTTCAAAAAATGATGAAAGTTAAGTTAAGTTCTTTTCCAATTCCTGACAATGCCCACATAAGCTTTATTCGACATTGTGGAGATCGGTTTTCTACCCAGCTTATGCACGTAAATCTGTAATTGCTTGTAAAAAGTAAACCTTCAAAATAAGACTTTCACGACAGTAGATGTTAGCTCTCAAGGCTTGGGACTTGACCGACCCTCTTGTGTTTCATGACCATGAGGGCAATTACCTTTTTCGCTTGATCACGCTGGAGATGTTCTTTGCTTTGTAGCATTGTTCCTTTGTTCACATCTTATCTTCATTCTGTCACTGACTGGGTGAGATTTGAAATGCTGATACCAGAGGAATGCAATTGCCTCCATTTTTTCTTCTCTGGTTTTCTTCTTCTCTACCCTCACCAAACACTATTAGTGACACTACATTAATACTGGGAATTTCCTCATGTTGCTGTGAAAGCAGCTTCAGGTCGTATTGTGATTGATTCCACAAGACAATGGGAACTCTCCTCTGAGATTCATAATTTCTGCAGATTTGTCTGCTGCACATTCATGCTGCCAATCTCCTGTTCTACCACATCGCAGAGGTCCTGCTCGATTCACTTCTGGTTACTGTGGAGGTCACTGGAGTTCACTGAACTTACTGACTGATCTTCATGAATCCAGTTTGAGACTTTTACTTTGTGATATATTGCATTATCTTGCAGGAAGTACAGAAGATGATAAACTGTGGCCGTAAAGGAATGAGCATGGTGATAAATAAGACTCAGATAGACTTTGACATTAAACCGTGGTCAATTGGTATTAAGGCCCAGAGTGTGACGAGAAAACATTCCCCACAACATCACACCAGCAGCAGCAGCAGCAGGCAGGTTGGCTCCATGGATTTATGCTGTTGAGTCTAGATGCTGAGTCCATCTGCAGCCTCAGCAGAGATTCATATTCATCAGTCCTGGCCACGTTTTTCAGTCTTCTTCTGTCCAGTGTTGGTGAGTCTCTGTAACTGCAGCCTCACATTTCTGTTATTGGCTGACAGGAGTGGATCCTGATGTTTCTCTGTGGAACCATCCACCTAAAGGTTGGGTGTGTGGTTCATTCTGAGATGCTTTCTTGCTCATCGCAGTTGTAAAGAGTGATTGCCTGAGTTACAACAGCCTTTTTGTCAGCTCGAAACAGTCTGACCATCCTCCTCTGACCTCTCTCATCAACAAGAACTTGTGCTCACTGGATATTTGTAGGTTTTGGCCTCATTCTCAGTAAAAACAAACTTGAGTGCTGGGAGTGAAAATCTCAGGTGATCAGCAGCAACTACATGTATATGAATTAACACACAAAATATCTCAGGTATACCAAACCATCAATGATATTATCTACATTATAACTAACTATTAGCTTAGTGCAGCATGAACCGTGTCACATCAAGTAAACACCATCACACAATATGTCCACATATTCACACTGAACAGCTTCTTTAACGTCTTGAATCAGTTCTTCAGATTTGTGGTGAAAGCCGCAGACACCTCTGCACCAATTACGGTAGACATGTTGATTAATGTCTAACTTCCTGTGTTAACAGAAGCAGTAGATTCCTGTTTTCACAGCCTGAAATAACCCTGCTATAAAAGATTAACTTGTAACTCCAATTTGTAATAATTGAGCTTTAGAGGATCATTTAGTTATTTCTGGACAGAGCCAAACTGCTTCCTCCTGTTGCCAGTCTAAACTGAGTTTACCGGCTGTTAGTTGTACATTCTTACTGCAGAGATGTTGGATTGTTTTTATTCATCAACCATGTTAATCTGACAGCCTGTGGTGGAACATCATTATAGAATAATGTGCAAACAATATTTTCTTTCAATTTTAATCAGTTCATCAAGTCATCTTCAAAACATATTTCACTACTTGCAGCTATTTAAACATGCTAAATGAAATGAGGATTGATGACTTTTGGCCTTTGCCTGATGAAGCACCGTTGGCCGCCACCAGATGTTTGCGGGTGAGCTCTCCTGGGTGAGGTTTGGTCCAGGAATTTGCTCAGTTCCTCTTTCCAGACATGCCACTGTACCTCTGTGTCCACTGATTCATTACTGTCTGGTCCATTTTCTTGGGACAATTTGCCTTGAAAGACTCTACCAGGGGCCATTGTCCCCTGTCAGCAGAGTTACACAGCAGGGACACACAAGAATCGCCACCACTAAGCTGGTGGTGATTCTTCAGGGGGAAGCACAGTGAAGTGGTCAACTCATTACTTTCACTCAACAGTTGTAAGCCTGTAAAACTTCACCTTTTCTATGTTTTAGCTCTCATAATTATTCGCTGAACATGAGCACGTTGACTGGTTTTCAGTCTTTTTTTCAGCGGGTGTTATGATGGTTTTAACAAAATCCCTCTGGTGTTGAGAGGGTCTCAATAATCATGATGCCACCCTGCTGCCTTTTGCAGCTAAGCAGCGATTTTGCTCTGATCTCATTAATTGGTTTACAGTGTGGATAATTTGAAAGCAAGCCCTAAGGTTATTTTGTGCTGCTGACAAACAGGGCCTGTCTGTGTAGTGATAGTGTTGGTGTGATAGACCACGAACCCTTCTCCATAATTGATGAGAGCAAACACTATGAGTTGGAAATGTGCCTGTCGAATAACTTGTTTCACTGCCCTCTCTCTCCTGTGTGAACCCAGAGCCAAAATCAGAAGCTTGCCACATAGTTTCCTTCCTGTCATTAGTTGCATCAAGCTCCATTAACTTGAACATGTTTAACCACTTGTTCCTGACTTTTCTTAAGTTCTTCAACAGCTACTCTATTGAGATGCCTGTGAAAGTTGCATGAGTCATATCGAAGTAAAGTGGCACAAGGCATGTTTAGTCTATGCTAGTTTCCAAAGCATTTTTCATTTTCCCACATATATACCCAATTCACTTGCAGTCATCTGAGTACCCATGGCCGTGTTGGTCTTAAAATGATACAGTCTATGGGTGAGGTTTCGTTGTTGGTACCTTGATGCAGTGAATGGCTGACTGCTTTTTGTTCATAGCTTTTAAACCTTTGGTCTATAATCAATTGTGCATTTCACTATGTTTTTTAATAGTGCATTATTCTGCTTATTCTGTGAAGTTTATTGAAAAACACTATTATCAGAAGCACATCTGAAAATGATTATTTACCCTGCTTTAGTTATTGCTTTCTGCCTTAATGGGGCAGTGCAGGTACAAGCTACTATATCTACCTGGACATGTGATGTTTTCACATTTAAATTAGAGTGGACATTTTAAACAAGTTTTTGGTTTCATTTCAAGCCTAGCACAGAGCTTAGTGTTACAAAAACACACACAGCTGCAACTGTCACAATATTTTTCTTGCACAGATTTAGCCAGACTTAACACACTCACAACTAATTAAACCTTAGTTGATAAAAAGTTAATGCTACATATGCGACTCTGTCAGTGTAGATACTTAAACAAAGGAATAATATATGTATTAAAAATTAAAAGACAACTTTAAAAGACAACCTTTACAATACATTCGGTAGACCTGTTTTTTTTTACTTCTTGTCTATAACTATTACTGGTGACATTACAAATATTATATCATGATAAGACATTTAGTAGTTCTTTCTCACAGAGAAATTTATACAGGCTGTGTATGACATCACTGTCTCTAATTCTACATGTACTTAAACTTTTCTCCATTGATGCTGTGTCTGTTCTAAGCCTGCATGTTTGGAATGGCCTGTGCTAATGCTTTTGAGCTACTTCTGAATTATTCCCTGTCATTATATACAGTCTATGGTCCAGACTGAAGTTACAATACTTTGTGTTCATCCTACCTGGTTCATCTGCAATGAACATTTGAAAGTCAATATTTTCCATAAAATGAAACTGCATTTGCTTTATTACTCATTACACATTTTTGTGGGTTATATATAACTTGATTTGCTGAATCTGTTATTTTTTTCATACATTGCAAAGCAAACAGCACAATGTTCAAACCCACAACTTTTTAAAATAAAAGCTCTGTCATTCTGGTTTATGTAAAGCATTGCAACAACCAAATTAACATTGTGCTTTTACTTTGAAGACAAACCGCCAGACAGGACGTGATTCTGTTAATGTTGTTGATGAAGGAGAACATTACTGTGGTTCAGTCCGTCTGTGTCAGAGTCAGTTCTAATCTTAAGCAGGATGTAGAAGAGGATGTAGAAGAGGATGTTCCAGAGAAATATTTTCCATGGACAGACATTTGTGGAATTTGTAGATTCCACTGAAATAAACAGAGCTTGAGAGGCTCTGCCATAAAGAATGGAATTCATTGCCTACATCTGGGTGTTTAAACCTTGTAGATACTTTCCCACAATGACTGGAAATTGTAAATGATGCCACAGTAGTGAATAAATGGTGTGAATATTTTTCTAAATGAGATGTTTCAGTTTTAGATTTGCAAAACCTTTGCAACACTTAAAATATATAAAATACAGTGATACATGCACATTATTCCTTTCATGTCTTTAGTGATGAAAGTCTCCACTGGTTCAGACCAACTCATTGGCAGAGGTTCACACTCAAATATTTCAAAAAGGGCTTATTACCAGCAGCTAGCACACTGCAGATATACCTTCATTTGTTATTTAAATGTTTTCACACAGCACACAAGTGACCTCAGGGTTATTTAACACACATTTCCAACCCTCATGTTGTACTTCTTTGATGATACACAGATTGCTGAGGCACTGAACAGTTTACATTGTAGTTCCATCTACATCTGCTTTTTAGACGAATACAAAACACACATCCTAAATATTACATGTATACTGAATTTGTGTCTGTGTTTGTGTGTCACAGATTGAGGTGATGCATGAGGAAAGCCAAGGAGGTTCCACCCATGTCGTTTTAACAAATGAGACAGAGGAGAGTTTGTCCAACAGACGCAGGTAAGAATGTCCAACAGTGGTAATGCTTGTGTCTGATTATTTTCATCCAGGTGTTCCTGCGAACAGGAGCAAAATCTGGCACCAATGTGTCAGGGGAAGCCCCATCTGAAATGTAATTTCTGAGAAATAAATATAGGTGATTAGACTAACAAGGTTATAAACAGGAATAAAAATCAACCCAGTAATTTACATCATGTGGTGAATATATGATCCTCCCCCAGAGGTAAAAAAAAGAATCCTTATAAGGTCATAGTGATGATGCTGACCCTGCATGGCTGTGGTGATTCAGCCTGTATCAGCATTATTTTATAAAGATACCACTGTTAACAGGATGCAGAAGTGGTGAGAGAAACATATATTCATAAAACTTAATGCAAAGTAAAGCAATTATCATCGTCGGGGTTTCCAATTTGCTGAGCGTTTTTTAGTTTATTTTTCAGATTTAAGACTTTTACTGCCATATTTGGTAAAGGAGCTTATACATTTCAGTTATTAGTCACTGCCTCGAGTCTTTATGCAGCTCAGTGTGTGGTATGTGTTCAAACACGTGACAGTGAAACATCACTGACTCACATCCTCGTCACAGCCTTACATATTAGTCATAGACTAGCTGCTTTGCTGTAGTAAGATCTTTGTTTTGCATCATTTCACATGTTCAAGGATTAACTGATTCGATTTCAGTGGTCATAGGACTGATCACAGTGATCTTATATAAATCTGGAAAACAAATGTATGTTGACAGAAACTACACTGGTTGACAGAGGCATAGAACCGCGTGCAGTAGTTCTGGTTGTTTGCTAACTTCTTTCAGCAGGACTTTCCCACAGGTAGACCTATTGTCATATGGCAATTTTAGCGCTGTTAAATATGCCAATGATCAAATCCCAGGTTTTATTCATCAGCCTAAAGTAAGAAAAAAAGTAAAAGAAAGTAAGTAAAAGATAATTTTAGAACAAGAATATGAAAATGTTCTTGCATGATGCCCTGTGTTTTGTGTTACAGCTTTAGTTTCACTCTCGCTGCTCCCATAAGCATTTAAGTAGTCAGACATTATTTAGGACTGCTTTGAACCTGAGAATTTAGCAGCTAAGGAAACAAAAAGACAATGAGCTGTGCCTGACAAAGAATTGTGTTACTTGAACCAGATTTATACATTCATTTTGGGCAAATCAGTCATTTTATTTCATATAACCTATCAAGCAATGAGTTTTGAACCTTCATGTTATATAGTAAACAGATCATGTTATCCCTCTGAGCTAATGACTAGCAACTATTTTTTTTCCCCAATATAATTTACCACTTAACACAGGATTAAGCAATGACTTATTTTGATCCTCTGCTTCATTTTACTGACCGTAAGAAGTAAAACTATAATTTCATGCAGAAAATGGAGTGTCGGATTAATGTTTTTGTTTTTCTTACCACTTTCCTATCAAGACGGTCTCCTTGCTTCCATCCTAGTTGTTCTTGCAAATCCTAGTGTGAGAACCACCATCTAATCTTTTACCAATTACCAAGTTTTCTTACAAAGAGGTTTGATGTAAGGACAAGTAGGTACATTAACTACCCTGGAACCCTGGGATTTCCCCTAATTATTTGTACTTTTTGTAAAACCTTTGTAAGTACCTTAGCAGGTAAATTTATTAATCCAACACTTTTTACAAGTTGCTGAGAGTCTGGCTGTATGTGGCATTTTTCTTCTGACTGATTGCCTCAATTGTAAAATCCTGATGCATTTTATCCGCCTGATGGGAGTAGGTCATTCAGCAGGACTAAAAACAAATGCAAAGGTCAATGGTGCAAGAATGGACAGGATTAAGAGTTGCAAGTTAATTGTTTTACATCTGAAATAAGCAATGATTACAAATGACAATCACCCGTTAAAAAGCACCTCATTTTGTTGTTTATCTGCAAATTATTCTCTCTTGTTGATAAATCTTTTTAGCCTATGACATGCCCAAGGTGATTTGTTTGAAAGTCTTTTGTCTGACCAACTGTCCAAAATCCAAAGATATTAATAATGGAACAGAGAAAACCAGAAATTTCCAACATTGGATAGGCTTCAACTAGCATTTTTTTGGTGTAGCAATCATACATTTTGTGTACCATTATTTGAAGACATTTATATTAATCATTTATAGCCTTTTAATGATTTATTTGTCTCAGTTGCATAATAATTACTAGAATTTAACAGCTAGTTTAGAAATGATGTCAGACTTTCCAGGCAGAACTAAACCTCAGAGGTTGGCAGGTGAATAACAATGTGAAGCACTGTGGATGTGTGTTCACAGAGACAAAAGGTCCTGATGGAAACAGAACCTGGGGGTGGCTTTAACCTCTTTTCTCTCTGAACTTAAATAAAGAGAAACCCGATTCTGTTAATGATTGAATAACTACTTGGTTTATGTTTGTTTAACAGAACAGCTTTGATCTTTATTACAAAAGAGCACACACATAGTACAACCAGCAATCAGTGAAAAAACGAGGGGGGAGGGAAGGGTGTTTGCATGAGGTACCCGCATTTGTTTCTTTAGCACATTTAGCATTCAGCTTCAAGACCACTTACGTAAAAGCAGCCATACAGGAGTATGTGTTCTGGTAATATGGCAGACACAGCAGCATCGCTCTCACTGCTGTGCAGTACAGATTACCCATAAATCCTCTACTGTTCACCTTAGCATCTGCTGCTGCTTGCCATAGTGAGCGCACATCTGTAGCATGACCGTGTGATGTGATCATGTGATCATAGATGCAGGAGTGGTTCGGAGCCTTGCCCTCTCCTGAAAAGTGCACATGCTCCTTCGGAGAAACCCCCATTGCCTTGGCACAAATCCCCATGTAAACATCGTCAATGTACATGGAGGAGTTCAAAACCAGAGTTGCATGGTAGATCTTAGCGGCCACATCCCCTGAAACCACATAACCTGCTCCAGCAGTGTAGTCTGGATAAGAAGGCCAGGGGTACAGATCATAGGGAACATAATACTTGCTGTCTTTACGTCGGTTTGGAGGGGATCCTCTATGTACATGCCCCACCCATAAATGTGTAGCCCCTGACTGACTACTCAGGAGCTGCCTCAAGTACTTAACCAAATTCGGCATGTGAATAAAGATGTCATCGTCCGCAGACATGAAGAAGCGTGCTTGAGGACAGTACTCATGGCCCCACTGGAACTGCAGAATCAGTTTGGCAGTCAGGTTGTGGAAAGTGTCCACAAAGTTCTGTTGAATCAGGTCTCCATAGGCTTGGTCTTCTTGCTGCAGTGCAATCTGAACCCTGGATCTCCGCTTGACATTCGGGTGCATGCCGAGGGCAAACACCACCTTCACGTTTGCGCTCAGTTCTGACAAAAGGAAACTCTCATTTCCCCATGTGTTCCTGATAGCCTGACGCTGCTCAAAGTTCTCTGGTGATGATTTCACAAACAGAAGCAAGAGGACATCCTCCCAGCTTTTTCCATCACCTTTACATTTACCTGGGTGGTTGATGAGGTATGGATACCTCCCTAATCTCCCATCAACACTGTCAGTACCATTCTGTCCATGGTGATGTTTGGAAGCGATGTTGAAAGATGAATTGAGAAAGTCGTAGCTGTTGACCAGATAGCGGTACGTATAGGATCTCACGTGGCTGACCACATGGTGGTCCAGCTCCTCCCAGGAGACCATCACCATACACAGTACCAAGGCTGTGGTCAGCAGCTGTATGCACTGGACCTTGTGGATACGACGGAAATTCATGAACATCGCGACTCCTGCTTATCTCTTTGTCAACAGTGACTGCCTGCCCAGACTTTTACTCTCGGAGATCTGTGTTTTCTGATTGTAGAGTATGTTATTTCATCTCTGCCTCCTTTCACTCTCAAGCTTGACCTCTCAATTCTCACCTTCAGTCTCTTGGGCTCCTTTCATCAGTCTAATTGATTGTCTAATTGTCTTCCTTCTCATCTTTTGCTTTATCTTACATCGTCTGTCTCAACTCACACATATCCTCTTTCCCTCCTCCTGCTCCTGACCTACCAGTTGGATTATCTTTGTGATGCTGTCAAGTCCAGTAGGCCTTTGTCAGGCTTTGTCTGGGTGCCCCTTTACTAAACTTTCTCTGCTGCGTGAAGCAAAAGCTTTGTTCCCACATGATGATCAGACGCTTCACATCACATCATCATCTTTCTTCCTTATGTTCTGAGAATTCCTGATGAGTTTGACCCCTCTTCTTCACTTACTTATCCCTCCTTCTCCTCTCTGGTTACTTTAACATCAGCAGGGCATATACAAGTATGTGTCACCTGAAAAGGAAAAGAAAAACAATTAACAGTTCTGCACATGCTTGATGAGTTTTTGGTTTATCAAAATTAATATATTAAATTAAGAAAGGTTAGCAGCTAACATAAGCACATCCAGATTGTTTGATTACTGCCAAAGCATAATTAGCAATGCTAAGACTGCTAACCTTGTCTTACCTTGGCCACCTTTTCAAGTTTACAAAAATCTTGAGTAACACCAGATGAATTAAAAACAAGCAGAAAATGACTATTTCACAATCTATTTGTACCTCCAACCATTTCCGTCTGCTTTTGGTCTAATAGCAAATAAGGCACAAGGCATTTGGCGCATTACTTTTGTAATACACAGAATAGTAAATTAATTAGTGATGGGCTGCTTCACTGGATAATGCAATGCAATGGTTTGTTGCCGCACATACTGCTGTTCCTTTGCTTAAAAATCAAAGGAAGTCGTCAGCTCTTATCACCACAAATTCTCTTTAAAAATTAAAATATTTGTCCGTCTGTCGTGTGGCACTGCTTTTTCAGCGGGATATATTAGTTTTTTATTTTTGCGTCTGTCATGTGTCATCAACCCCCACACTCACTCACAGAGAATGGGGGATCTCCTGCTGTGTTCTCACATCGAAATTAACCTTACATTGTATGGACTTTATACAAGGAGGCCAGGCTGAGAAAGTCCGCAGGTAATCGGGAGCCTCTCATTTGGACAAATTGCGCTCACACATGCACCAACTCTGGAGAAAATATGGAGGATTTGTGGAGGTCAGTGCATGTCTGAAAGCAGCTATGGAGATGAGAGCAAGATGGAGAAAGATGGACGTGGCTGTGTGATCATATGTGACCTATGTTCTATGTGATCATTTGTGATCAGTCACATTTGCCCCCCTCACCAGCCAACTACTTTTGGTCCAGCCACGTGACCTTGCCCACCCGCTTGCTTCAGCCCCCAACACAAAAATGACCACTGTATACTGTAAACAACCCCTAAACTGTCTGTTCACCATGTTAACTGACTGCCTTTAACTCTGCAGAGGATACTGTGAATGTAAGTGCTGACTGAGCACAAAGAACTATAATAGAGGGCTTTAGCCAAACAGAGCCCCTGAGCAGAGAAGCTGCCGACGTCTGTGCAATGTTGCCACATAATAGAATGAACACATTTCCACAGCAGCATATTTAGACTGGACGCTGGGGTCTGCCAACAATAGAAGGCTCTGACAACACATGGTCTTGTGACTCAACATACAATGAGAGGATCCACTGTCTAGGCTTTGTACATGATAACCCCTCTACATTTTCATACGTGTATCACACAGTAGTAGTCTTCAGTATATAGACAAATCAAGAGACACTTTTTTTTTCTTGCATTTGTAAAGTTGAACCTTAGTCAGTTATGTTTCACTTTTTTAACATTATAAACATGTGTTTATATGGTCTAACTTTCTCTGCAAACAACTTTCCATTGTCACCTTCTGAAGTGTGACCTTAGATTGTGTTCTTGCTCTGAGTGAAATATGAGCTAGATAAATGGCGATAAAGCATCTGACCCACTTGGTGTAGCTGTGGAGTGTTCCACATGCTTGTGTGGGCTGGAAGCAAAAATGGTTTGTTATTGATACACAGTAATTGGAATGCTTCCACACTTATATGGATAAAGGAGTATTTCATACATTAGAAGAAGTGTCACAAAATTAGGAAAATGAAGTAAAAAAAACATTTTTTCAAACATACAAAACAACAGAACATTTTCAGATCTACCAATCAGCTGCGCACCTCTGTGACCCATAGTTACCCACAACACCCTTCTCTGCATTCATTTACAAAGACATTTACATGTATCACTTGTGAATTTCTTTGAAATCCAGTTTTGCATAGTATGTGTACACGAAAGATAAGTTGTAAAATATATTTTGCCTCACAAAACATGCAAATTTATCCCAGAAAACCTGAGGACCATAAGGCCTGGATACGTCTTACACACGTAGCTTCGGGCTATTATGATTATTTTTATAAGATTTTATAAAATCATGTTTTGTAGTGTTGCCTTGTGACTATGCATTTACCAGCTCATCAACATGGTTTTTATTTATTTATTAGCCTCTGCAGATGGCTGTATGGAGGTAGTCTTTGGAAGCAGAAAAAAACAAAAACTTGGCCACATCAAAATCATATCTACCAATATACACTATATTGCCAAAAGTATTGGGTCATCTGCCTTGACTCGCATATGAACTTAAGTGACATCCGATTTTTAATCCCTAGGGTTTAATATGATGTCAGTCCACCCTTTGCAGCTATAACAGCTTCAACTCTTCTGGGAAGGCTTTCCACGAGGTTTAGGAGTGTGCTTATGTGAATTTTTGCCCATTCTTCCAGAAGCGTATTTGTGAGGTCACACACTGATGTTGGACGAGAAGGCCTGGCTCTCAGTCTCTGCTCTAATTCATCCCAAAAGGTGTTCTATTGGGTTGAGGTCAGGACTCTGTGCAGGCCAGTCAAGTTCATCCACACCAAACTCTCTCATCCATGTCTTTATGGACCTTGCTTTGTGCACTGGTGCACAGTCATGTTGGAACAGGAAGGGGCCATCGTCATAAACACACTCCTAAACCTTGTGGAAAGCCTTCCCCTTCCCGACGTCATATTAAACCCTAGGGATTAAGAATGGGATGTCATTTAAGTTCATATGCGAGTCAAGGCAGGCGACATATAGCTTCATCTTCCAATTAAAAAATAATGTCAGACAAAAATCTCTTATCATTTGTATATATCAAACAAAAAAACTGAATACCAAACTCAACTTACTGGTTCCTTTTCAAGTGTATTCTGAGCGGTTTGATACATCTTACTCTCAGATGACCAGGAGAGAACAATAGCAGGTGAACTCATGCAGTAATAATAATTTAAGTATAGAGCTTGTTTAAGTTTCAAACTCTTTGTCAGTAAGTGAAACTTGATCCATTGGAGCGAGAACCATCATGTCAAAGGACTCAATGCTCAGGTGGCGATGCCTGACGCCAGGCAGGTCTGAATGCTTGAAGAGCCCAGGTTGCAGCCAACTTGTGTTCTTCCTACATTACGATACACAATGCATACAAACTCAAACACACTACCTTTGAATAATAAGAGGTAAATACAGACTATTTACCATAGGCTCTAAGTCAAAAGTCTTGGTGTCATTTGTTTGAAGCACCTCATTTTGCTTGTAAATGAGCAGTTTTTAATGTAAGCAAATGTCCCACTGTGGTTGGGAGCAGAGCAACCAGGTTACATGTGCTGTGTAACTGGCAGTGTAATGGATTTAGTTTATTAAAAGTGTGGGTTCTCTATATAGTGAGAGGCATTATTCTTTAGGGTGAGTTGAATAGAATAATCTGATAACCTTGTAGTTGTTTTTGATAGTCAAGGAACATGAACTGTCAGGCAGTCAGATAAGATGCACCACTGCAGGACCATAGTGAAAACTAAGTCCTACTGCATCCGTCTTTGTCGAACCAAGAAGTGGTACTTTAAAGGATTTTTCCATTCAGCCTCATCCTCTCTACACATTTCATGAACCGTCCGAGGTTGGTGTAGCAAATTTCATAATTTCTAAAGTTAAAATGAATGAGTAAAAACTACAGAAATCAAGCCCATATTGCAGTTAGCCGATTCATCCAACGATTGTCACAGTGGATCAGACTGAACTTAAACATACAGCTTCTGTCAGGATTGATTAATTGAAGTGAGCATTCTCCTTTTCCTTAATGGTCTCGCATGAAAGCAGAAGTGCATTCACAACAGGATCCAACATCACTTAATGAGACAGCGCAGTGGATGAGGCATGAACAGACAATGTCACAGGGCCAGGAGGATATGATGAAGATACACGTGATCAGTGAATCACACTTCACACAATGACCCATACAAACAGACACACACACTCAGACTCCATTGTGCCATGAAGTAAGCTTTTTACTTTTACCATCCACTGCATACATGGAATGGAATGTGCAAGTGTTTAGACACTGGCCATTCCTAAAATGTAAAAATAAAATAGGTCTCACCTACTAACTTCCTCCTTTTGAAAAACATCCCTTTAATTTATTGGTTTACAAAGAAAAGAGGTGTATGGGTAACAGAATGTAACAGTTATTTCCATTGAGCTACTTCGTAATGAAGAGAAAATACATGCAGGCTGTAGTCTGCCTTATAAATATCATAATTAAGAATTGCTGGAGAGAAGTGTGTACATTATACTGTGTATTGTTGGTTATTTATGCAAGTGATAGTTTTAATTTAGAACTGGTTTAGAGAGATGGGCTGATTTCATGACAGATCTGTTTGCAGAGTCAAATCCAGTTATATGATGTGACAGTAGCTTTAGCAAACAGAGAGAGAAACAAGAAGACAAGAGAAGTGAAAAACTCACATGATCATCCGATGCACTGCTTCACAACAAAAACTGTGTGTTTCCAGAATCCTGCACGGGTCTATTCAGTATGACTGTTTAAAAGTCCAGCCGAGAGGAGCTTGAAACATGTTCTCTTATTTCCCTGAAGGTCTGAGCCTCTGAGAGTGTGCGAGAGATACTCTGTGCTGGAGTGGGTGGGTGCAGGTAGTGAAGGGGGGAGGAACAACTGGGCAGTGGGGGAAGACCTCTTCACTTCCCCTCAGTTTTATCCCTCCTACCTCTGTCTTGTGCCTCCAATGAATGTGTCTGCATTTTTGTGTGGAAGTACAGGCCGGGGAGTTTCAGTTTTGGATAAGTGATTGTCGGTAGCTTCAACACAGAAAGAAACATCACACATCATCTGACACACAGTCCAATATATGAGCCCCCAGATCAAACCATGTACAATCTAACCATCCTGCACAATCTGTTTAAGGCGCTTTACTTCATTGGTTCAGTTGATGTTACATTATCCCATTATAAGGGATTCAAAGTGTAACCAGTTGGTTGTTTGCTTCAAAGTTAAATTGTGTCTCAGTCAGGCTGGTTCTTACACTAAATTTATATTATTCACGTCTTTTTCATGAAAGTGAATTGCTGAGTGTAGAGCTGAGAAATGTTTGCAGGAGAAGACAAGAGATGTGATCGTGAAAGACTGCTACACAAACAAAAACTGAGTTTCCAGAATCCTGCACAAGGCTCCTTTTTCATTTAAACCGTATTCTGACTATTGTTTTCACCAGTGAGACGTAGTTATTGGCTCTGACCTGCAGTGACAGCACCGTATCACAGAGTGGAAAGCTGGCTGTATCACAGTTAAGGTGCCAGGTTTCACCATAAAACACCCAAACCATCCTGTGCTGCATGTGCTTCAAAAAAAAAAAATCCTGTCAGTACATATCTCTAGAAAACCAAGCTATTGCTTGACACTTGATTGCTCATCAAAAATACTTGATGATACTTGCATTTTATGGATGATTATCTGTATGTTCAAATTTTTATCAAATGAAAAATCGCATTACTTTAAAAAAAAAGTATTACTAGTAAACGTTGCCTAAACAATATGTCAAAAACAAAAAAAACCCTGTAAAACTAAGCCTTGACTAGAAACAAAGTTGATCAGAACAACAACATGACAGTAACACTTCATAATGAGTATGAGGTGAAAGCGCACCATTTCTAGTTTACTCTGAGGTTTGCAGGCTTGTGTTTTGTGGAGAATTAAGAATTTAACAAGATTACTTTGATTTGACTTTCTGTGCTTTGAGCTCTTATGTGTTTGTTGGCTTTTAAAACGTATGTGTTGTGTCTGGCTGCTTACTGCTCAGTCTGGGTATAACCCTTAAAGGGTCATTTGACTCCATTTAGAGTGACGTCCTTCAGCACACACACATAAACTGTGTTACTGACTTACCGAGTGGTTCAAGTCCAATGGATGTGTGAATTAAAGTAGAGAAAAATCCTCCTCTTCTCTGCCCAGCTTCTGTAAACTCTCTCTCTCTTTGCAACACACACACACGCTTTCCAACTGCTCCTTTTTTCCTTCCCCCTCCTCTGCCTCGTGCCACTTAGTCAGATTTTCCTGCACATTTTTCCCACGCCAGATGTAGTAGTCCAGCCGAGGGGAGCTTGAAATATGTTCTCTTATTTCCCTGAAGGTCTGAGCGTCTGAGAGTGTGTGAGAGACTCTGTGCTGGAGTGGGTGGGTGCAGGTAGTAAAAGGGGGAGGAACAACTGGTTAGTGGGGGAAGACCTCTTCACCTCCCCTCAGTTTTATCCCTCCTACTTCTGTCTTGTGCCTCCAATGAATGTGTCTGTATTTTTGTGTGGAAGTATAGTTTAGTTTAGTTTGTCCAGTCTGGACTAACGTAAAAAACATGGCAGCCTCCGTAGAGAGGGTCCCCTCGATGTAAATATAAAGTATTTAAATATAAAGGGCCTTTTCTGGTGTAAAGAAAACTACAATTCATAGAATTTAGATGAAATGAACTAGTGAAAACATCATGAGGATTATTCTACATTAAATTTCTGCCAATAGTTCCCTTTCACCTAAATCTTACACACTGGACCTTTAAATTGTGTCTCAGTCAGGCTGGTTCTTACACTAATTTATATTATCAACGTCTTTTTCATGAAAGTGAATACTGAGCGTAGAGCTCAGAAATGTTTGCTACGCTTTCGGACACTTCTCTGTGCATTTTCTCCGCGCCTGTTATTATTTTGATATAGTTCATATATTTAATAGTTTTAGGTAAAAAAGCACATTGAATGACCATGTTTCAATGTAGAAATACACGTATGTGCTGCAGTTTGTGAGCACTGCTAGATCTTATTACAAATTCTAGAGTCACAACTCAGATTTGTCTCGCTCAGGGCCATAAACAAAATACATCACCAGAAAGTTATTCATTACTTTTCACTGTGACATACAATGCGTCCACTATATAAGGAATACATAATTTCACTGACAGCTCTACAAAATGACGAATTCACTGTAAAGGGATTGGTGAGTGATTTCTGGCACAGCTATAGTGTGGGTCATAGTGTGGGTCATGAGCGATGGATGATGCAATGCTGTACAGAGTGTACATGCAGTGGTTGGGCTGCTGGACTGTCTACGTTAGAGCATGTGTGTTCCAGGACTGGACCCACTGGTGGTCACAAGTTATACCAAGTTAATTAACCATTCCAAGTTAATTAATGCAAGACATGTAGTCCCTGATCCTTGGAGTGAGTGTGGGGTCCTACAGACAGACAGAAGACACTGAGACAGACTGAATCCACAGAACAAATGTGGTTCTCCAATATGCTTGGAACAACCAGTTCCTGAAAAACTGCAAATGCTTACTGATCTGCTGCTGTTGATTTAGTTTTTTATCACAGTACTTTGTATGAACTAATAAAGAACTCTATTCATAGCATTATTTTTGATATCGTTCTCATTCAAAGTGACATTTACATAGTAAATCCAGCACTGTACTGCACTGTTAGTGGATATGTAAATATTTATTTTGAATATCTCTTCACAGAGAATATTTATTTAACATTCAGTATTATTCAGCAAAATGCAGCCTTGTCCTCAGAGTTACATCAGCTGATGCATATACCATGTGTGTTAAATCAAATTGTGGCTGCTCATCATCTGCAGGATAAGTATCTGTCTGTGTGCATGGGAGTGTGTGAAATCAAAGAAGTCAGAGCCAGCACTCATAGGGTAGCTTTTTGTAAGATAGCAACCATGCACCATGAAGTAATAATCACACAAGAGAGCTCTGTGTGTCCCTGTACGTATGCTCATTTGTAGTTGTGATGAGGTTGGAGAGCGGCCCTTCAGTTACAGCCTGGGTCTTGCTGAGAGCTGTCCACTTACAGCACAGATATATGCGTCAGCAACAAAGGAAGGCTGTAGTAGCTGAAAGCTCAAGCCTTTGCACACAGAGGAAAATGGCTTCCTTTTCCTCAATGTGTGTGTGTTTAAAATGACAGATGGGAGCATTCATGTAATTGCTTTTGCCTGTGACATGATTGTGTTCATTAGTCATTTTCCATCCAACGAAAATGACCATTGTCGCCTGTAAATATATGTTTGTACAAGTTGATTTTGTTTGGTGTGTATGATTAAGACTTTTGTATGAGTAAGTTGTATGTAAGTCTCAACTCATCTCCTATACAGGCTTTCTTATGAGCTTTCAACTGCATGTTTCTCGAGGATGGATTCCATGTGGTTGAAAGCTCTGGAAAAAGATAATAAATGGACCTTGAGTTGACCAAGATGGTGCAGGGACAGGTTGTTGCTTTTTTAAAACAGTTTTGATCTGTTTCATCATCACAACAATCACACAACTTTCATTCATTTCTAAATGATCTGTGGATGACAGAAGCAATAATGACTCTTTCCCCCTTTTGTGCCACTCGACTTTATGAGGACAGACAGTGTAGCCCTGGTAGAGAGACACTGTCTCTTGAGGCAACCCTTCCTTCAGTTATCCTTGCCAAAATTATTTCACTCTGCAACAAACTTGACGAGTGTATAACAAGGTATGTCCTTCTTGCTTTAAAGGAAACATGGCTCAAAAGCAAGACTCTCATTTTGATTTGTAAACTAATGGTTTCAGGGTACTATGGTATGGGTCTGCTACACCAAAGTCTCTCTCTTTATGTCATCAAAAACTGGTGCAACAGGTTGGTTGTTAGGGAGATAGAAAGCACACCCAACATTAACTCTTATCTGTGCCCCGATGACCCTTTTATTTACCTAGGGAATTCCCACAGCTATTTGTTAAGCTTGTGTATATTCACCTCAAGGTGGATGTTGACATGGTAACTCCATGCAACCAGGAATGTCTTTGTGTAATTTGTGCCAGTATGAGACTTGGACTGCTCCAATTAATCTGTCAAGGGAGCTTCCTTGATAGAGATTCACAAAATCTGAACTACGTTGTGTGTTTGGTACAATCCCAGAAACCTGCCATGAAGGTAAACAAGTCTGAACAATGATTTGTTATCAGTACTGATAATTCATGCAATGCATAGATGGATGTGAGGGTACACAATAAATGAGAACCAGTCCAAGAGAGAAAGAATGTGAAAATCCTTTTAAAAACCAGACTTCAGAAATGTTGTTCATGAGTAGAAGATAAACAGACAGATAAGAGCGAGGAGCTGAAACCTTCCACGATGGCCATATCGGGGGATATTTTCATAAAAATTGTAGATATGTCTTTCTTATCTTGCTCCACCTCCTCATTTTCTTTTGAAGAATTCCATCATTATGCTGATGCCAAAAAACTATGCTTCAGAGTGAATCATGACTCCAAGCCTGTGGCGCTGCATCAATGAAATCACTTGAGTGGACTGTGAAGGTATGAATTCTTTTCTGTGCAGGACCTGCTGCAGCTTGCTTATAGGTCAGGCATTGGGTCTTGACAAGAACCCTATTAAACATTGTTCTGATACACCTACAGGGTGAAAAGACTTATGTGCAAATAGTCTTTATTGATTTCTCCTTAGATTTTGACTGGATCCAACCTCACATTTTATTGGAAAAGCTTGAGAGCATCCACACCCCTGATCCTGACCTGATATGTTGGCTGATAAGATTTCTTAAGTTTGTTGTTTATCATGTGTTCCTCATCACTCCAAAGGTGCCTTACCTCTCCTCTTTTATTTGCTTCGCACACTTTTGCGTACACTTTCGCACACTTGCAAGAGATTTGATTAGGTGATGAGATCTTTGATGATGGTCACCCTGATCATGGCCTAGTTATCGCAGAATTCACAGACTGTGCGAATCATTCTTCATGGAAATCAAATTCAAGAAATGTTTTTAGAAAACTCCTAGTGGTGACCTTTGATTTCTCAAGAATGAACTTTGATAAGAAACTTAAACCCAGAGGTGCAGTAGAGCATTTAGGCAGCTATTAGTACAACAACCATGTTACAGTTATCTATGTAGTATTCTGTGGTGTTTATGAAAATGCAAATAATGTTTTATTATCCGGCTTGAATGGTGAAGTGTGTTAATCAGTGTTGGAGGATCCTGAAAGTTGCAGGGCCTACTCTTTTAGATTGAGAATATAGGACGAAATGGTGAATATCCCAGACATATATATATAATATCCATCTAACCCTTATCTACATAGGGTTCCAGGGGAGCTGAAGCACATTCTAGCTAACAGTAGGTGTGAGACGGGGTAAATCTTGGACAGGTCTACAGCTATTAGGGCCAATATTTAGACAGAAACAACCACTCACTCACATTCACACTTCAAAACATCTTATCCCCAGTCTGCATTTCTATGGACTGTGGGAGAAAGCCAGAGTATCTGGAGAATGTAAGATGGATAACTTGATCCTGGACAATAATATATTGAAAAGACTTCTTTGGGGTGGATAATGCTAACAGCACTGGTTCAGTAACTCATGAAATTTGCTAAATTACCATATCCTGAAGACTCAACAACAAACCTTTTGATTGAACATAACGGCAAGGATGCAAGCGCCAATGTAGAGGAAATAATACAGTATATTGGAGGCAGTGGTGAATATGAGTGACTGAGCATTTCTCTCAGGGGAGTCGTGGCTTTTCTTTTTAGCATGCTTTTGGTCGTAATTTTGCTAAATGGTTAAAAGCCTAAATGTATCCAAGGTAAAATGTTTAGAGGATGACTGCTTCTGCTCTTTTCACACTTGAGTAAAAGTTTCCCTTGTTCTATTGCAGAACGCTGCCACTTTTGTCATCTTGGAGTCAATGCCTGATAAAGTCTGATCTCACCACACATCCAAAACACCCACAAACCACTCCACTCATAACCACTAAGCCATGAAATGCTATTATTGTGTTTTCAATTGTTGTCATTAGCTAAGTAGAGGATCCAAATGGACCACAACACTGGTCAGATTTCAAAATGCTGGCCCTAATGTGACCAAAGAGCACTTAACTGACATATTTACTGCTGGTAACTGATTTATTGGTTTGTTTGTAAGCATGAGAGAAACATTGGATGCATCTGGGGTAAAATTCTGCTCTCATGGTTCCACAAAAAAAATACATTTTATGTTACAAATGACCGAAATTCGTTTCTCTTTTTCTGCAGACACATCATGACGGAGCTGATTGAAACAGAGAGGCTATATGTGGAGGAACTGCAAAGCATCATGGAGGTACAATATGTTTACTAATCTATTACCTTCATTTGTTATTATTAATTTAAATTGCTGAAAAAAATCAGATGCAATATTTTTTTTTCTCAATAGAAAAATCTTGCATTCTCTCGCAGATAATACAAAACTGACAAAAGGTTTGTCTTTAATTAGTCTTTGCATTGGATTTACCTCATTGACTTAACATCACAGCCCTGTTAGAGTATTGACTTCTTATAATCTCCAGGGAATCTGGACCACAATGATCCCTCATCGGAACTTCTTTTGTCACAAACGCACCTGAGCAGACACACTTCAACACTGCACAGTCCAAAACAAGATGTGCAATTCTGCACTTAGAGCTCTGAAGAGGTGCTCTATATGCCTTGCTTCATTTACATTAAGACATTTGTCAC